TTCCTTGGCTTAAGAGCCCCTCACTAGCATCAAAGAACCTTTGAGGGGACAATGGTAGTTTTAAATGAAGTATAAAATATAGGCGATAAAACTCTAGACACGTGAACAGAAAACTAGTACTCACCAAGAGCTGTGGAAGACTCAAAATCAAGTAATCGCTCATTAAACAGTAGTCTGTATGGCTGTAATAGCAAGTGAGATATCGTCTATTATTAAGAGGACGGGTTGTTGTGTGTGGCTGTGCTAGTAACCCAGGATCGTATTATACCATGAACTTTTACTATGGTGGTGATTGGGATGGATTGGACTCCATATTTGAATGACTTATTATTGTAGTAGCATTAGCATCCATTTATTGGTATACCGTGTGTGCGTGGACAAGTGCTTGCATCGCAGGAGACAGTCACGTGTGTAAATATAGAACTGGTGAACGATCAGTTATCCTTGTGCTTTATAACTATGTTTGTAACACAAGATGGAGATCGGTATTATGGTTATGATGTTAAAGGTTACAACTGTATAATGAATTCTGAAAAAGCATATTTGTTGTTACAGAGCCGGAGACGTTTGTGGAGGAGTTGGATGTAGGGTGTTTGGAGCCGAGTGAGGAGGACGCAGGGAGAGGCGTTTGTGGTGGTGATGGAGGGGGGAAGGTCGCTGCTCTCAGACACACTGGAGGGGTCCAAGCCACGCCTGCCACTGCGACTAGAGGAGTCGCCCACTGCCCCCTCCCTCACAGAGAGGGGCAGGTCGCCCCTTACTCTCCCGGAGAGGGGCAGGTCGCCCTTCACCCTCCCAGAGAGGGGCAGGTCGCCCTTCACCCTCCCAGAGAGGGGCAGGTCGCCCCTTACCCTCCCGGAGAGGGGCAGGTCGCCCCTTACCCTCCCGGAGAGAGGCAGATCGCCCCTTACCCTTCCGGAGAGAAGCAGGTCGCCCCTTGCTCTCCACATGGACGGCGCCACCTCTCATCTCGTTTCCGCTGCTGAAACTTTCAAGTCACACTTTTCCCACAGCTCCGATGACACAAAGTCACTCCTGCTGCAGGGGCTAGAGGGCACCATGGCCCTCTTAGCAGCCAGGGGCATGGAAAGCACCAGTACCGTGTACCCCCTTGGTATGGACAACCTGCGGGCTTTTTCCCCCTATGGGGGAGAATGCGTGACCTCGTACCTACAGGAGAGGCTGGATGCTTCCCTGAAGAGTGTCCGGGAGAGGAAGGACTCCAGCATAACAGGTGCCGCCACGCCTGACTGTGCAGGAGACGTCAAACGAAGCATGGAACACACTAGGGAGCATAAGAGTCACAGGAAGACCTCCGCTAACCACAAGTCCCAATTGTCCAACCCCAGGCACGACGCTCACCTAGTCCACGCTATCAGGTATGTCCTACACAACACTCAACACCACCATGCTCAGTAATCTTGCTTCTGACGCCCATCCTCCTACTACACCCAACACCACTATGCGCCACAGTCACACTCCTCCCCAACCTCCGCCACTAACACCAATACACTACCATTACTAACCAATATATGCTGCCACCACCAATACGCTACCATTACCAACCACTACTACATCCTACCACATTGTTATGTCAACATCTCTGGTCCTTGACTCTTTAGTTTAAATGTTAGAAAAAAAGGCAGGAGGATTAACCATGTGGGCTGTTTTGAGTTATTGGGCTTCTATACTATACCATCTTTAATATGGCTCTTGATGTACATGTCCCTACTCTCTCCAGTACTGGTTGTCCTACTGTGGGCTGTTGTAAGTATGACCCTAGTACAGCATGTGAAAAACTGGTTCATTGTGTTCCACTGACATGTACTGTATCCCCTGTGGTCTTTGTCCTCATTCTTCCTTTAATTCGTTTTCCGTCTTTTAAATATTTATCTTTGCTTACCATGTATTCATTTTTTATTACATAATTTTGTATCGTTGCATTCTTTTCATGCAGAATTTTGGGCAACTTAGGTGATTACATTTTCAGGTGCGTATTGATGATTTTCACATCTCAGGGTAAATACAGGCAGGCCCCCACCTTACAACATTTTGCCTATACAGCAGTTTTCAATTATGCCCTTTCTTCATTTATTCAGACTTCCTACAATAAATATATTCACCACTCACTGTGAGCTAAGGACAAAAATATTTTAAGGTAAGTAATGTATGTGCTGTATATGGATATTTTAGGCCTAGCTCTGTTGCTCACTTAATATATGATAGTGTAAACATGTTATCAGGCTTTTATATGAATTTGAAAGTTAAAAAAAAGGCTATGATTCATTTTACAGTGATTTTCACTTTACAGCAGCAGCCTGGAACCTAACCTGCAGTATAAGTGGGGCCCTCCTGTATACAACTGCTGAACCACTATGACAGAATTATGGAGGCATTGGAAGATGACCAAAATGCAGATGTGATTTACAAAGATTTTTGCAAAGGCATTTGAGAAATGCAATCATAGAGTGATAGTGCACAGAATGAGGGCCATAGGTCATTATGGGGAAGGTAGGGAGATGGATTTTCGGGTTACTAACACACACAGCACAGAAAGTAGTAGTAAAAATCCAGCAAAATCCAGCATCAGTGAGGTATAAAGCTCAGTTCCTCGAGGCACTGTCCTGTCACCACTTGTTTCTCATCCTCATAGCAGACATAGCAAACACCCATCACAGTTTTGTATCATCATTTGTAGATGATACTAAAATAAACATGAAAGTCGCTACATTAGAAGACACTAAAAAATTACAGGAAGATATAAGCAGCGTTTTCTAGTGGGCAGTGGAGAACAACATGATATTGAATGGTGGTAAGTTCCAGCTGCTTAGGTATAAAAAGAATGAAGAACTTGAAAGGAATACTGTATACAAAACTCAAAGAGGAATATGTCCTTAGTGAGACCTCATTTACATTATGCTGCACAGTTTTGGTCTCTGTATTACAAGTTTAGATATAAATGCACTGGAAAATGTACAGAGAAAGATGCTGAAATTGATTCCATGTTTTCGAAACCTTTCCTATGAAAATAGGCTAGTATCATTGAGCTTGCACTCTGGAAAGATGTAGAAATAGGGGAGATATGATTGACGTGTACAAATGAAAAACAGGAATAATAAAGGGAATATAAATAGCATGCTGTAAAATATCTAACCAAGACAACTTAAAACAATGGATTAAAGTTGAAGAAATTTAAATGTAAAAAGGATGCAAGTAAGTACTGGTTTGGCAGTGGAGTTGTAGATGAGTGGAACAAACTGCCAGGTAGCATCATTGAGGCAAGAGTTTAAGGAGCCTTTATAGGTTGCGTGGGTACATTAGTTGGTGTAGGTGGGTAAGTTGGATGCACCTAGTATGGGCTAGTAGGCTTGCTTCAGTATTCTTTCATTCTCATGTTCTTTATCAGAATGACTTCTTTCTTCTTCTTCTTCTGTTGGGTTTCAGGGCCACTGACAGCATACACCGTAGAATGACTTCTTTCCTTTTGTAACAATGGAAAACTTTCGGGTGTATGGGTAGCGGGCCACCAGCAGCAACAGCCTGGTTGACCAGGCAGATCCTTAACAAGCCTAATCCAGGGCTGGGCTCTGGGACTAGAACTCAAAACTCATCAAAGTTATATCAAAGGTTTATATGCACATATCTAGTAATTTTTTTAAAAGAAAGATTTATTGTGATCATTGTTATTATTCAGTACATGTATTATACTTTTGCAAAGCTCTTTCCTGTAAATCCAGTAATATTTACCCCCTTTATTTGCAACCTACATTGATCAAATAATGGCACATTCATATTGCATATAGGGACTTACTGGTAGAAAAGGGATTCTTTTGTAAGAGCAGATTTGCTTACAATGAACCTGTATGAAGCAAGAGATTATTGTAGTTAATCTTTCTGGTTTATTATTTGTATAATTTTAAAACATTAATCAATCATCCTTGTGGGATACTACTGGTAATGTTCCCTCATGAGGACATTTTGTTCTCGTACAACTTTATCACATTTTTCTTCTATGCAAAAAAAAAAAAAAAAATTGTTCTAATTGTTCACCTCTTTTATATATTCCTAATCCATATATGTTTTGGCATAAAGTAATATATTTCATACAGACTATTTCCCAATATTGCCGATGTACAATATTCACCATATGGACAGTAGTAAAAAAGTCTTGTAATATATTACACTACTACATTATTTATTGGGTTTATTATTTTTATGGGCTTAGGGCTTTATGACCCACATTTTATCGTTTTCAATGAGAATAATAATAATAATTAAGGAATGAAAAAGTGTATTAAATTCACGTAGCTTAATCTTCCCAAACTAATATTTAGGGTAAAATCATTTTTATTTTAGCCGTGTCCATGCTTTAAACAGCATGGACAAGGCTAAAACTGAAGTTTTATTGGTACTCTCTGGGTGTTAAAGTATAAATGCATGGAAAAGTGTATGGAGGAAAGGTCAGTATGTGAGGGTTAAATTGGAAGTCCAGTACTGTATACACGTAATAAAAAATGTACGAGGTTTCTACTTCTGTAGTGTAGTACCAAACTTTAGGCCTAAATTGCACCCAGTTTCTTTTTTATTGTGGGACATGCACACCATTCCATGATGCAAATAATTTTATACATGTTTAGTTAAGACTTATTTGAAACCAAACTGAATGGACTACAGATAGGTAGGGAAGTGGGGTTGACCTTTGTAAATATATGCTTACAGAAAGGTGCTAGAACAATGTGTTTTCAATTTCCTTCTGGATCAGCCTGGGGTAGTGGTACTGTAGTTTTACCCCAGTATGTAATGTATGTCACTACTACATTCTTGCTTTTCCAGAGAATTGCATGAGGAGGAGTTTGGCCTAGATGTAGTGCTACTAGCTGAAGGCGGTCATGTAGGCGCGCACTGTGCTGTTCTGGCTGCTGCTTCACCTTTCCTAAAGTCCCTCCTCCTCCATGCAAATGACCACCCTGCCATCATCTCTGTCACAGGTACCCTAACCTCAGTTTTGGTGCTACTCATTCACAAGTTGCTGCTCTATTTTCTTATCGTTCTCAGAGACAGTAAGAAATTTTTTTATATACAGTAATAAATATAATAATGGTGCTATATGGCCCCTAGAGGTTTGTTACTTCCTTATGACTATAAAAAGTAATACAATTTCACTTTCTCCAGGTACATCATTGTCAACACTGCAGGCATTAGTGACTTGCCTGTATACAGGAAGCATTCCAGCTGGTGCAAGTCTTTATCATCTAGCAGAGGCTGCAAAACTTCTTAAAATGGATGAATTAAGTGCCGTCCTACAGAAAACTTTTATTGCTCAAGGTGGTTCATTATTAGAGCTAGCCCGGCCCCTGTCAGCTTTGCAATCTGCTATCTATGGCTCCCAGAACCTAGCACTGGGCCTGGAGCCACGTGCTGAGAAGTCAGGCAAGAGGATTCGTAGCAACCGTTTAGACCAGATTCTCTACCAGAAACTTAATGTAAACCACCTGGCACCAACTGATATTCCTGAACCCTGCCCAGTGCCTCCCTCTGAGTCTTCTCGAGTGCCTATCCCAGAATCTCCCCGAGTGCCTCTCCCAGATCCCTGCGGTGGAATCTTAGGTGAGCTGCTGACTAAATCTGACCCCCTTAGGAGCGTGTTTGCAAACAGTGGTTACTCCATTGCAGACCTGGGGTTTGATTCTTCTTGCACTCACCTCAAGCCTCTCAACCTCTCTAAGCCCAACAAGAGTCAGTCATCTTCCACTTCAGAAATGTCTTGCCAGACCTCTTCCTATACATCTTCCACAAATTCCTCGACTTCCACAACGTCATCTCCCTGCAGTGTACCGGCCTCCAGTCTAGCTTCCAGTCTGGCTTCCAGTTTGGCTTCTCAGACCAACTTCAGCGTGAGTGGTTCAACTTCACTAGCTTCTACATTGCCAGGCAGTATGACTGGTCTTCTGCCGCCATTGACGCCCTCCAACATGATATCACCATCTGCCCTCTCCTCCCTTACTTCATCGTCTGCATTAGCTTCTCTTGGAGCTCAACATTCTGCATCTTCCACTACTCCCTCCAAAACCAAAAGCTCTAGCAATGGTGGAAGCAGCAGAAGTCGCAGCAGTGGCAAAAGTGCAAGGAGCAGCAATAGTTATCGGTTGAGTAGCAGTAACAGCAGAAATTCTAGTCAGCATAGTTTACCATTACTATATACTCTAAATAGTGGCATGATGACTCCTGAAGTGGCCAAGGAGGTATGTGAACAGCTGAAACTCAATCCTCAGTTAGCTTCCCTTCCAGGGTTTGATAGCTTAAGCAATTTATCAAATTTAAGCAGTTCTGCCAGTCTTCAGAGTCTTGCTAATCTCCATAACTTAACAAGTTTACAGACTTTCCCAACACTGTTTCCATTCCTAGCTCCTACATCACCAGAGAGTCCATTGGTTGGAAATGTGGGGACTCAAGGCAGTTCCTCTAGTGGTAAAGATTGCCACATCTCACCAGGTGCCCCATCATGTGACCTCAGTTTAGCAACTGGCACAGACTGTATTGAAGCACCAGGTGACCTGAGTTCAAATGTAGTCCCTTCTGAGGATCAGGTTGCCCTGAACTTGAGTAATAGTGCATTAATCTCAGAAAGTGAATCTCCAAAACCTGCTACAACAGATGAACCTATTGCCATGCTTGCCCCAGTAACAGTGCAACCCAAACTTCTGGCGACAACTGTGAAGGAGCAGAGGGAAGTGATGACACTATGCACACAGCCCACCCACCTCCCCCTACTGAAGTATCTTCAAGCTGCCAAACTTTGCTCTCGCAAAATTCCCATGAATGTGTACTTGATGTAGACCAAAATGAAAGCTGTGGCAACATCATTAATGGTAGTGTAACTTGCAGTTTGACTCACACAAGTAGCAATACTATCATTAGCAGCAGTATGGACAGCAGTAGTCTTCCTCTCTTATTAATGACTTCTAGAGCGAGCTTGGCAGGAATGACACCACAAACTGATCTGCCAACAGTTACTGATTTATCCATGGATAGCCATTGTGTATCTCAACAGGTGAGAATTGCTTATCAAAGTTACATGTAGGAATTTTTATAACATAATTATGGGCGATGAATGTTGCAGCGAGGAGAAAGCTGGAGGCAGTGGAGATGTCATGTCTGAGGGCAATGTGTGGTGTGAATATAATGCAGAGAATTCATAGTTTGGAAGTTAGGAGGAGGTGCGGGATTACCAAAACTGTTGTCCAGAGGGCTGAGGAAGGGTTGTAATAAAGTTGGTAGAATTACCGACAATATGTAAAGTAAAAGGACACAAGTGCAACTAATGTGACATTTATTGTGGCAATGTTTCGCTCTCCAGGAGCTTTATCAAGCCATTATAAACAATACATGGACACAGAGGGTATATAAAGGCTCAGAGGTGCAATACTAGTGAGGTACCATTTCGATGTTCACTAGTGGTAGTGGTAGTAGTAGTAGTAGTAGTAGTAGTAGTAGTAGTAGTAGTAGTGGTGGTGGTAGTGACAAAAGTAATACAATATGGTAGAGCAATTAATTCGTACATGAGTAAAATGATATAAAAGCTATTACTTGGGTAACATAAAAATAGGTTGGACAAATATAGACTGGAAAGAGGCAGCTTGTTTCAATGTTCACTCTCTGTAATGTGCTTTGTGTAGTATAACAGGAGAGACTATGTGATGGCAGGGTTTACTGTTTTCAGGAGGATTCTTGCTAAGACTTCGGAGATGGTGAAGCTGCCGTTGTTTTGTTTAATTGTATTTGAAACAGCAATCAGTGCTGATTTGAGGCACTTGCGTCTGCGGAAATTAGTTTTTTTGATCAAAGAAACTAATTTCCGCAGACGCAAGTGCCTCGAATCGGCACTGATCGCTGTTTCAAATACAATTAAACAAAACAACGGCAGCTTCACCATCTCCGAAGTCTTAGCAAGAATCCTCCTGAAAACAGTAAACCCTGCCATCACATACTCTCTCCTGTTATACTACACAAAGCACATTAGAGAGTGAACATTGAAACAAGCTGCCTCTTTCCAGTCTATATTTGTCCAACCTATTTTTATGTTACCCAAGTAATAGCTTTTATATCATTTTACTCATGTACGAATTAATTGCTCTACCATATTGTATTACTTTTGTCACTACCACCACTACTACTACTACTACTACTACTACTACTACTACCACTACCACTAGTGAACATCGAAATGGTACCTAACTAGTATTGCACCTCACTCTGAGCCTTTATATACCCTCTGTGTCCATGTATTGTTTGTAATGGCTTGATAAAGCTCCTGGAGAGCGAAACGTTGCCACAATAAATGTCACATTAGTTGCACTTGTGTCCTTTTACTTTACATATTGAGGAAGGGTTGTTGAGGTGGTTCGGACATGTAGAGAGAATGGAGCGAAACAGAATGACTTCAAGAGTGTATCAGTCTGTAGTGGAAGGAAGGCGGGATAGGGGTCGGCCTAGGAAAGGTTGGAGGGAGGGGGTAAAGGAGGTTTTGTGTGCGAGGGGCTTGGACTTCCAGCAGGCATGCGTGAGCGTGTTTGATAGGAGTGAATGGAGACAAATGGTTTTTAATACTTGATGTGCTGTTGGAGTGTGAGCAAAGTAACATTTATGAAGGGGTTCAGGAAAACCGGCAGGCCGGATTTGAGTCCTGGAGATGGGAAGTACAGTGCCTGCACTCTGAAGGAGGGGTGTTAATGTTGCAGTTTAAAAACTAGTGTAAAGCACCCTTCTGGCAAGACAGTGATGGAGTGAATGATGGTGAAAGTTTTTCTTTTTCGGGCCACCCTGCCTTGGCGGGAATCGGCCAGTGTGATAATAAAAATAATAAATAATTATTTGTACATGTATATAAGTAAAAAATATTATTGCAGTTTTATCACTTTAATGAGGTAGAACCAAACTAATGTTAATAAGCATATGCAAACCTTAAATCATATGACTAGCAACATTTTTATTTTCCAGGAACCAGGTGTGATGTCTCCAATAGTTATAGACTGTACAGATGACAATGGTATTGAAGTTATTGAAGAAATCCCTCCTGGCATGAACAAAAACCAAGTTAATGCTCGTAAAACTCTATACCATGCTGGACATGTTAGTACCGAACTGTTTATAATACATCTAGTATTGTTTTAAATAATCTTGTTGGTAGACAGCTATTAGAAACTGTTTCAGTGCAAAATATTAGACAAAACAGCTAGTGTTGATTCTGCTTTTAAGATGATCAAGGCTACAATCCAGGAGCTTAAAATTATATACAGTATTCAGAAAATTAAGTTGTGATTTTAACACTTTTTAATGTAAATTAGCTTTATGTATATTGAATCTAGATTGATTAACAATTAGCCTCACAAGCCTTCACAGTTTATTTAACTTTTTATTGTATAACATTGATAACATTTTGCATGAGGACTCACATTCCCTAATTGTTATTTACCTCTTGGTGACTCTAGGGTCATTTGCCTTCTGCATAGAATTTTTCTGTGATATTTCAGCTTCCTCCAAGTGTTGAACATATTTAGAAGAGTTCTTAAAACCTTTATGAAAAGTTCTTACTGAGTTATATATGGATTGGGTTTTCTGTTACATAAATGAAACACTTTCCTCTGTTGCACTGGGATACAAAAGAGAACATTATCTGAGACAGAATCAGAGAAAACAGGACAATATAGGTAAATATATAGAAAAAGAAAGAAAAAATGGAGGAGATAAAGAAAACAGTCAGTTGGTGTTGCAGTACATAAAGTAAATAAGAAAAGAAACAAAGGATTCTGCCATTATTTTTCCTCATTGGGGATGTTCCCCAATAAGGATAAGGCTAACCAGTCTAGCTTATATAAAAATAAAAAAATATTATTGATTTTTTTATAAAAACATTGAATTCGAAGGAAAGTTTTATACCAGCAATAAGTTTATAGTAGTTTAGGTAAGACACATATGCAACAGTTAGGTATCTTTATTTCGAAACGTTTCGCCTACACAGTAGGCTTCTTCAGTCGAGTACAGCAAAGTTGATTGAAGCAGAAGAGACTTGAAGACGATGTAATCAGTCCATCACCCTTAAAGTTTTGAGGTGGTCAGTCCCTCAGTCTGGTGAGGGACTGACTAGTGAGAAAGGCTGGATTTGAGAGGGACCTGACCTCTCAATGTCTACATTCTTATTCTACTAGTGACCTACGTCTCACCCTCCTGGTGCTATATAAGGCTCCATCCTATCACTTCAACTCCATATTATTCCAGACAATGGAACAATACTCTTATCCAGACTGAGGGACTGACCACCTCAAAACTTTAAGGGTGATGGACTGATTACATCGTCTTCAAGTCTCTTCTGCTTCAATCAACTTTGCTGTACTCGACTGAAGAAGCCTACTGTGTAGGCGAAACGTTTCGAAATAAAGATACCTAACTGTTGCATATGTGTCTTACCTAAACAACCTGTCGGTATTTTATACCATTTTATTGTTCAAGTTCATAGTACTTAACTTACAACAACCTATATCTGTGATTGGTTTCAAGGGCATTAATACTCTCACAACCCAGTGTAAGGTCAGACTTTTTGATTTTCTGCTTAGATGATTGGGTCTGTGTGTCTGACTGGTTTCAAGAGTTTCTACCCTCTGTCTGGCTTGGGGCCAGGCTTTTTTTTTTTTTTCTGATGCCTGTTTATCTAGGCTATTGGCTTGCTCCTGACCCATGTAGCCATCACAGGCATACTGATTTGGTAATTGGAGGTAGTGGCCCAATTTCCTCTTGAAAGCTATTTTGTGTGTTTCAGCACTATTTCTGATATGTTACCAGCTGGTTGAAATCTTGGACCATGGATGGTGACACATTGTTCATTTATTGTGCCCTTGCTTTTCGCAGTTTTTTTTACACTTCCTCCTGCAGCTCTCACTTCAGTAAGTTATGGTGGTGCATAGCTTAGGGACTAGGCCCTCCACAGTCTTCCAGATATATAGAGGTATCTTTTCTATGCTGCAGAGAATGCATTCCAGAGCACATGTTTTTACATAGCTCAGCATTCTCCTACCTTCCAAAACAAACCAACAGTATTTTCACATCATTTATAGTAATGTGTTGGCTTGATATGAAATTTAGACAAATTACCATTCTTGCAGTGAAAACAAAAGGCATCTGCTTTATGTATATGGCAGCTCAACCAACATGAGAAATTTTACTTATGGTTAAGCACTCGCAGTATTATTAAATGCCTGAAGTGTCATTCAAACTTTAATAGGCTGTTCCTTCTAAGATTACTATTAACACAGTTATTAAAAGGTGCAGTGTAATAATAGCCACAAATGTTTTATAATTACAGTTAGATTTTTGACTTCATGGAATCTTTTTCTTATTTTAATTTGTGCTGTCAATCTTTACGATACACAGTTGTATGATCAAAGTTCTGAAAAATCATATCTGTATGTTGCTAAATAAATACAAAGTTTGATGAATTCTGCAGATGGGCAGGAAAAGGAAGGGGTGTGGAGAATGTGAGGGTTGCCAAGTAGTTGAAGACTGCGGCCAGTGCAGATTTTGCCGTGATAAAGCCAAGTTTGGAGGACCCAATAGACTGAAGCAAGTATGTGTGTACAAACGCTGTGTACTAGCTGAAATTGAGCCAGAAGATGCAAAGAAGAGACGGAAGGTAAGGTGAAAATCAAAAGTCTAAAGCCTGAGCTTTATTTTTCTTTTTATAACTGGAATCATGCCTGCTCTGCCAGATTTTGAACAGCTGTCTTTTCATATAAGCAGTTTGTGCATGTTCAAAATATATTAGTATCTAAGTTGCTGTATGACCCTTGTGGGTTTAGCGCAGAGTTTTGTTTGTAATAATAATAATTAGAATCTAGTGCTCTTCAACCCAAGAATAATTTTTAAAGTTCATTCACAAAATATGATTAATTTATTTATTGGAAGCTGTCCATCTCTTCAAATTTTAGATTGTTATGACGTATCTCCAGAACTGAACACAATATACAATTCCTTTTCCATTATCAAGAAATTGAGATTTGTATTATATTACAGACAAGTGGAAAAAAGGGTCGTGGAAAATGTGGAGGATGTGATGGTTGCCAACGCACCAGTGACTGTAACGAGTGCTATGCTTGCCTTCACAATGCTGCCGCCCAGCCTCCAGCCCGTAGAAAGGTAAAGATTTATAAACACTTTATATATCTTTTTTGTTTAGCATATCAGTTGTTTTCCATGAAGGGAGGTAACCCAAAGAAGAAAAATTAATTTGTCATGCCTTTAATATACCTTCACCTCAACTATCATTCTTTCCAGAAAGGCATAAATATCTCAATCACAGTGATATACCAAAATACAACGGTGGCCTCTTGTTATCCTTTTGATAGTCCTAGGAAATCTTCCTTGTGTGTTCATCTCTGCTTTTTTTGCCTTCTAGTAGCCTGTGTGGACATGTCTGGTGCATGCAGGCATTCTTTGTAGCTCATGTCTGTTAGTTATGATAGCAATTTTGTAACTTTTCTTTGACTTTTTTTTTATCTTGTCCATATGTTTTATAGGTATGAACACCATACTAAATCTGCATACAGTATTCCAGTAGCTGGCCTGACACATTGTGAACAGCTTTTTTTAAGCAGTTCTCCATAAGGCTTTCTTGGTTGGGTTCTAGGTTCTGTCTATGTTTTCTTGTTCTGGAACCTTTCCTAAGAAGGTCTTTTTCCTGGTCTATCATTTCTGTGTCTGGGAACATTGTGTATGTATTGCACATATCACCTTTTATTCTGTATTTCCTCAAAGGACAGGAGATCTAACTCACATAGCCATTTCTTGTAGCATACTTCTATCTTGTTTGAATAGGTGAGTGTTCCACTTTCTTACTGCATACTTGAGGGTTGGTTGCAGAACTGCTCAAAAATCTTAAATAACTCAAATGACAAAAAGAAGGAAAGAAAGGTGCACACAGACGTTGAATGTATAAAGGAGAAGTAAAAACATATGTTACCATCAGATATTGAATATATTGCCACAGCAAGTGGTAGCAGTTATCAGGAGGAAATTGGACCTCTACCTCCATCAAGTGCTAGGTCAGCCAGATGGCAGGCATCTAACAGCAACAGCCAGATTGAACAGGCAGTTCAAATAAAAGCTTGGCCCCAGGCTTTTGTTTTAACTGCAAGGCTACAAGGATAGAACAACTTTGAAACCAGTCACAAGCATACAAGACAAGAAATGCAGAAAGAATGAAAAGTTGTTCAAGAAATACAACCAAATAAAAACATCTGGTACTTTATTGGCTTACTGCTAACAAGTACACTGCATACACAAGTGATGATTAAGAAATGAAAAAATGATGAAAAACAGCAAGAATCCAATTGACATCATGAGAGTAGAAGACCCAGAATTTTTTTTTTCATAAGTATCACCCACTCTGTAAATTATACTGTATATCCAATACGGTATTTGCGTAATTCTTACAGAACTTGAAAAATAAATTGACAGCACAGGACATTATGTTTTTTGTTAGCCAGAGAGAAATTGCAAATTGAACTGTCTAGAAGTTGTGACTTAACCCTTAAACTGTCCAAACATAGATCTACGTTCACTCGCATAGCGCTTCGAATGTAGATGTACATTTTTTTTTACATGCTTTCAAATGGAGAAAATCAATGTTGGAGTGCTACGAATGTAAACGTAGATCTACGTTTGGACAGTTTAAGGGTTAAATTGCAGGTTCACAACTTGTATGGCTAAAAAATAATGAATTTTTGTAGGGAAATGATTTTTGTAGATGACGAATTCTTAGAATTCAAATAAGGATGATTGGAGTGTTGTGGTATCAGTGTCATTAAATATTTATATAGGTCTTTTGGAAGATGGTCAAAAGCCATTTTGCCATTTGATGTACAATCCCTGAATCATCATTGCATTGTGGGTGAAGCTGGTTCCATGGTCAGTGTGTAGGGAGGGGTCAGAGGTACCAAAGGGAAGAAGTGATTGTTTGAAAGCAGTTCTCAGTTCCAAGGAGAGTCCATGTCCATGCCTGGGTTGGTAGAGGGTGTCAGTAACTGGGGATCCAGGAAAGTAAGGTGTATAATTTCTCATGGGTTAAGGTAATAATCGGAGAAGTATTATCTCTGAAAATAAACAAAAACACCTACCCTTCCCTAACTGTTGCCCACCTTCACTGCAGCAAGTAGTGCTGCTATTCCTGGAAATCGCCTGGTTCTCAACACTAGGATGGACACCTTCAACATTTAACTGAGCAAGGCTTAGCAAAATTGCCTGATGAGACCAGAACACCAATTGTGTATATGTCTTCCAGCTAATGCCAGGAGTCTTACATATTCATTTGCCACTCTTGGACCCACGGGCAACCTTCATCATCAGAAGCCCTGCCAGATGGCTATCTACTATCTCACAGGAGGGCCACCTGATAAGCCATGAGATGGTCCATTTCCATTGGTTATAATGGAACAATTATTACAGTACCAACCCTGAAGGAGTTCTAGGAAAGGGCTGGATAGTGATTGATTTACCCACTAAGAGGTGGCTGTTGCAAAAAGAGATTTTTTTTTTTTAACCCCAGCTGTCTCCCAATGAGGCAGGGTGACCTGAAAAAGAAGAAATGCATTCATAAAGTTGTTCTTTTTCTCCTTCTTTCAGCAAACTGGCCATATCCCACCGAAGCAGGGTGGCCCAAAAAGAAAAACAAAAGTTTCTCTTTTTATATTTAGTAATACTAGCCCCCTTGCAATGTCAGGTCAGATTTCAGCAGATTTCAGGTCAGATTTTAAGCCTTGTAGAAGTGAAGCCATCTGATGCTATGTTAGGTTGTGGATGTTGCAAGGTTTTATAACAGGCTAACAGTGTCTGTTAAGAATCAGGAATCCATTTATGCTTTCAATTCTTAGTTGAGAGCAACCTCATTTCTTGAACTTATGATCTTGATGATCATAATGTCACTCATCAATGTAAAGTTTATTATTATTTTTTATTGTGGTTGATGTGTGAATACTTGTGAATTTTTCAAAATTACAGGTATTCAAGAATCATAAAATCCTAAATTATTATTATTAATTAATTAAGGTTTTATCAGATAATATAAATTAATAATGTTTCCTTAACTAGGTGTGTGAGATGAGGGTGTGTGAGCAGCAGCAAATGGAAGAAGTGCGTGCAGCCCTCAGTGTTGCGGGAGAGCCATCACCATACTCGACTGACTCACTCATGGCAGAGAGTATGGGCATCAGCTCTGGAGCATCCAGTCCCACACCAGATGGCCAACCTAGTACACACAATGATAAAATGAAGTTAATGAGAAAAATGCTCAAAAAGAAATTTGCCCAGCCATACAGCCGGGTAAGCCCATCTAAGGTCGGTGGCAGCATGCAGTGCTGACGTTTTTTCTTCCCATCCTGACACATTTCTCACATTGAACAATATTGTATACAGTATTTGGTTATTAATTATTTTTAACTTAATGGTGTATGATGTGCATTTACTCTTTACTTTAATTTATGTATTCTCTTATATGTGGTTACAGGGGTTGAGTCATACTCTTGGCCCTCCTTTCAGCTTGCCACATTCACCCTCTCCTAGACTTGTGGCCGTTGGTCTATTTTAAAACTCGTATGCATGCAGTTGCTCCATCTTCATCAGGTCATTCGCACCGACCACTTGAAACGAAGAAATCTTTCCTGATATCCTTGTGACTCTCTAAAACAGTTATACACAATAAAGACTCATTCTGGAATGTAAGTTCCTTGATGTATCTGGAACAAGTGGAAGATTTTTTTTTTTTTTTTTTTTTTTTTCAACATGTCGGTCGTCTCCACCGAGGCAGGGTGACCCAAAAAGAAAGAAAATCCCCTAAAAGAAAATACTTTCATCATCATTCAAACACTTTCACCACATCGCACATTATCACTGTTTTTGCAGAGGTGCTCAGAATACAACAGTCTAGAAGCATACACATATAAAGATACACAACATATCCCTCCAAACTGCCAATTATCCCAAACCCCTCCTTTAAGTGCAGGATTGATTCCATTCCAGGACTCAAGTCCGACTATATGAAAATAACCGGTTTCCCTGAATCCCTTCACTAAATATTACCCTGCTCACACTCCAACAGATCGTCAGGTGAGAAAGATACATGATAATATACACTTGGAAAATCCTAGAGACTAGTCCAAAATCTGCACACAGCAATCACTCCCTATAAAAGTAAATGACTCAGCAGGCAGTTCAACATCCCCCAATGAAAAGCAGGGGTGCCACAAGCACAGTAAAAGACAACACATTAAGTGTTAGGGGTCCAAGACTGTTCATCTGCCTCCCATTATATATAAGGGGGATTACCATTAGACCCCTAGCTGTCTTTAAGAGGAAGCTCGAGAGGCACAGCCAGGTTGTGGTTCGTATGTCAGTTTACGTACAGCTAGCAGTAACAGCCTGGTTGATCAGGCCTCTAGGTATATAACCAACCTCTGCAACCATGTCATCTGGCAAATCTGAGAAGTCTTCAAGAATCTCAACAGTCATTATGGGCTCTTTATACAACATACAAGGATAGGCTGTTTGAGAGGCAAGAAATGGGAACTCAGAGACACTGCTGGAAGCTAGTTACAGATAAGCCAGAAAGTGGTTAGAAAGTTTTCCTTGTCTCAGCAGGGTGAGGAAGTGGTGGAGGCAGGCCCCATATACATGTATAGTTTTAAGAGCAGGTATGATAGGACCCACAAGGCTAAGAGGGAATGAACCTGAGGAGTAGCAAGTTAAGAGGCAAGGCTGGGATCTGAGAATTGACCCCTGCAATCACAAAAAAGTGAGTATGTATGTTTACATACACGAGTGCATGCACCTATGCACATGCACATACATGCCCATAAACATGTATGTACGTGTATACACATATACGTTCAAACATACACATGCGCTCACAATCATGCATTCATGTGTGTATGTACATACAACCTCTCCTGACTTAACGACGGAGTTTCGTTCCTGAGACCATGTCGGTAAACGAATTTGTTGTCAAGTGAGGAGCATACTATAATGGTAGTGGGTTTGTGTCAACCATCCTTGATATTGTTTTAATGTCACCTTTGCACCATTTATAACATTTCTGGTATATTTTTAAATGTATATACAGTAGTATACTGTATATTGTAATAAAAAGAATAGAGGAAATCAGCTCTAATATACATTATTTAGGTATGCATTCTGGTCAGAGAGCCCATTGTAAGTTCAAGTCATCAGTAAATGAGTATGTAACTAAGTGAGGAGAGGCTGTATACACACTCACACATGCATGCTTTTATCAAAAAGGTGACTAAATTGACCTGTTACCTGAGACAAAGAACATTGGTTGTCATTAAAGGTCACGATCCTGCATTGCTGCCGAGCTTTCTCCCTTGTTTTTCCCGCACTGCTGAACATTGAACACCAAAAAATATGAGGAAAAATAATTATTATTGTAATTTTACTAAGCAGTGTATTTGCATTTTTCAGGTGAGAACCAAGTACTACTGTGGAGAGTGTCCTGGCTGTCAAACGACGACACCTTGTGGTAACTGTCTGTATTGTGAGGACATGCCAAAATTTGGAGGGCCTGGACGATATAGGCAGGTGAGAAGTAACCTTTTTGAGATCTGAAGATGGCATAATAGGAGGGACAAATAAATGATGACCGAAGATATAGATATGACAGAGAAAGGGAGTGCAGAAGATTAGTAAAATTTAAAGTGGATGTAGAGCTCATTCTTGATATAATAAGAAATTAGCTGACATAATGTTATTCCTGGTGTTTCCTGGAACCTTTCACTGAAAGTTGGTTTTCATATTTCAAAATGTTGTAATAAAAACTTTGAATAATTATTGATTAACATACAGTATTAAAAAAATTAAATTTTAATTCAGACTTACAAGAATTATAATAAATAGTGATGCTTGAGAATGAAAGTCAAAAAGTTTGTTACAAATATGAGAATTTAGAAGCAAAGTGGAAATGTTTGCCAGTGACAGGTAATTTATAAGTTTATAAGTTATTTGCCACATGTCTGCTCATAAAATTATAACACCATATAAGATAGTTGTGGAATTTTACTTTTTTTTTTTTCAACAAGTCGGCTGTCTCCCACCGAGGCAGGGTGACCCAAAAAGAAAGAAAATCCCCAAAAAGAAAATACTTTCATCATCATTCAACACTTTCATCTCACTCACCCATAATCACTGTTTTTGCAGAGGTGCTCAAAACACAACAGTTTAGAAGCATATACGTATAAAGATACACAACATATCCCTCCAAACTGCTAATATCCCAAAACCCCTCCTTTAGAGTGCAGTCATTGTACTTCCCATTTCCAGGACTCGAGTCAGGCTATATAAAAATAACCGGTTTCCCTGAATCCCTTCACTAAATATTACCCTGCTCACACTCCAACAGATCGTCAGGTCCCAAATACCATTCGTCTCCATTCACTCCTATCGAACACGCTCATGCACGCCTGCTGGAAGTCCAAGCCCCTCGCCCACAAAACCTCCCTTACCCCTTCCTTCCAACCTTTTCGAGGACGACCCCTACTCCGCCTTCCTTCTCCTACAGATTTAAATGCTCTCCATGTCATTCTACTTTGATCCATTCTCTCTAAATGACCAAACCACCTCAACAACCCCTCTTCTGCCCTCTGACTAATACTTTTATTAACTCCACACCTTTTCCTAATTTCCACACTCTGAATTTTCTGCATAATATTTACACCACACATTGCCCTTAGACAGGACATCTCCACTGCCTCCAACCGCCTCCTCGCTGCTGCATTCACAACCCAAGCTTCACACCCACATAAGAGTGTTGGTACTACTATACTTTCATAGATAACGTTTTTTGACTCCACATATACCTCAACGCACCACTCACCTTTTTTCCTTCATCAATTCTATGATTAACCTCATCCTTCATAAATCCATCAGCCAACATGTCAACTCCCAAGTATCTGAAAACATTCACTTCTTCCATACTCCTCCTCCCCAATTTGATATCCAATTTTTCTTTATCTAAATCATTTGATACTCTCATCACCTTACTCTTTTCTATGTTCACTTTCAACTTTCTACCTTTACACACACTCCCAAACTCATCCATTAACCTTTGCAATTTTTCTTTAGAATCTCCCATAAACACAGTATCATCAGCAAAAAGTAACTGTGTCAATTCCCATTTAGTATTTGATTCCCCATAATTTAATCCCACCCCTCTCCCCAACACCCTAGCATTTACTTCTTTTACAACCCCATCTATAAATATATTAAACAACCATGGTGACATTACACATCCCTGTCAAGACCTACTTTTACCGGGAAGTATTCTCCCTCTCTTCTACACGCCCTAACCTGAGCCTCACTATCCTCATAAAAACTCTTTACAGCATTTAATAACTTACCACCTATTCCATATACTTGCAACATCTGCCACATTGCTCCCCTATCCACTCTATCATATGCCTTTTCTAAATCCATAAATGCAATAAAAACTTCCCTACCTTTATCTAAATACTGTTCACATATATATTTCAATGTAAACACTTGATCTACACATCCCCTACCCACTCTGAAACCTCCTTGCTCATCCACAATCCTACATTCTGTCTTACCTCTAATTCTTTCAGTAATAACCTTACCGTACACTTTTCCTGGTATACTCAGTAAACTTATTCCTCTATAATTTTTACAATCTCTTTTGTCCCCCTTCCCTTTATATAAAGGGACTATACATGCTCTCTGCCAATCAATAGGTACCTTCCCCTCTTTCATACATTTATTAACCAAAAGTACCAACCACTCCAACACTATATCCCTTCCTGCTTTTAACATTTCTGTCATGATTCCATCAGTTCCAGCTGCTTTACCCCCTTTCATTCTGTGTAATGCCTCACGTACCTCCCCCACACTTACATTTTGCTCTGCTCTTCTTCACTCCGAAAAGATGGTATACCTCCCTGGCCAGTGCATAAAATTACCGCCTCCCTTTCTTCCTCAACATTTAAAAGTTCCTCAAAATATTCTCGCCATTTACCTAATACCTCCCTCTCCCCATCTACTAACTCCCCTACTCTTGTTTTTAACTGACAAATTCATACGTTCCCTAGGCTTTCTTAACTTGTTTAACTCACTCCAAATTTTTTTCTTATTTTCATTAAAATTTCTTTACAGTGCCTCTCCCACTCTATCATCTGCTCTCCTTTTGCACTCTCTCACCACTCTCTTCACATTTCTTTTACTCTCCATATACAGTGGACCCCCGGTTAACGATATTTTTTCACTCCATAAGTATGTTCAGGTGCCAGTACTGACCGAATTTATTCCCATAAGGAATATTGTGAAGTAGATTAGTCCATTTCAGACCCCCAAATATACACGTACAAACGCACTTACATAAATACACTTACATAATTGGTCGCATTCGGAGGTAATCGTTATGCGGGGGTCCACTGTACTCTGCTCTTCTTATAACACTTCTGCTTTGTAAAAACCTCTCATAAGCTAACTTTTTCTCTTTTATCACACCCTTTACTTCATCATTCCACCAATCACTCCTCTTTCCTCTTGCCCCCACCCTTCTATAACCACAAACTTCTGCCCCACATTCTAATTACTGTATTTTTAAACTCATCAACCCTCTGATCCCCCCAACTACTCATCATTTTCACTAGCCCACCTTTCTGCCAATAGTCACTTATATCTCACCCGAACTTCCTTCTCCCTTAGTTTATACACTTTCACTTCCCTCCTACTTGTTGTTGCCACCTTCCTCTTATCCCATCTACCTCTTACTCTAACTGTAGCTACAACTAAATAATGATCCGATATATCAGTTGCCCCTCTATAAACATGTACATCCTGGAGCCTACCCATTAACCTTTTATCCACCAATACATAATCTAACAAACTACTTTCATTACGTGCTACATCATACCTTGTATATTTATTTATCCTCTGTTTCATAAAATATGTATTACTTATTACCAAATCTCTTTCTACACATAGCTCAATTAAAGGCTCCCCATTTATATTTACCCCTGGCACCCCAAATTTACCTACTACTCCCTCCACAACATTTTTACCCACTTTAGCATTGAAATCCCCAACCACAAGTATTCTCACACTTGGTTCAAAACTCCCCACGCATTCACTCAACATTTCCCAAAATCTCTCTCTCTCCTCTACACTTCTCTCTTCTCCAGGTGCATATACACTTACTATAACCCACTTTTCACATCCAACCTTTATTTTACTCCACATAATCCTTGAAGTATTACATTTATAATCCCTCTTTTCCTGCCATATCTTATCCTTCAACATTATTGCTACTCCTTCTTTAGCTCTAACTCTATTTGAAACCCCTGACCTAATCCCATTTATTCCTCTCCACTGAAACTCTCCCACCCCCTTCAGCTTTGTTTCACTTAAAGCCAGGACATCCAGCTTCTCATTCATAACATCCACAATCATCTCATTCTTATCATTTGCACAACATCCATGCACATTCAGACTTCCCACTTTGGCAATTTTCTTCTTCTTATTCTTTTTAGTAATCTTTATAGGAAAAGGGGTTACTAGCCCATTGTTCCCGGCATTTTAGTTGACTTTTACAGCACGCATGGCTTAAGGAGGAAAGATTCTTATTCCACTTCCCCATGGATATAAAAGGAAAAGTAATAAGACCAAGAACTATTAAGATAAAATCAAAGAAAACTCGGATGAGTGTGTATAAATAAACGTGTACATGTATGTGTAGTGTGACCTAAGTGTAAGTAGAAGTAGCAAGACATACCTGTAATCTTGCATATTTATGAGACAGACAAAAAACACCAGCAATCCTACCATCATGTAAAACAATTACAGGCTTTTACATTCACTTGGCAGGACGGTAGTACCTCCCTGGGTGGTTGCTGTCTACCAACCTACTACTAACTAATTACATAATTACATTTTTTTTTTTTTCAACAAACCAGCCGTATCCCACCAAGGCAGGGTGGCCCAAAAAGAAAAATGAAAGTTTCACTTTTTAAATTTAGTAATTTATATGGGAGAAGGGGTTACTAGCCCCTTGCTCCCGGCATTTTAGTCGCCTCTTACAACACGCATGGCTTACAGAGGAAGAATTCTGTTCCACTTCCCCATAGAGATAAGAGGAAATAAACAAGAACAAGAAGAAAGAAAATAGAAGAAAACCCAGAGGGATGTGTATATATACATATATATGGATCAAAGTAGAATGACATGGAAAGCATATAAATCTATAGGGGAAGGAAGGCGGGGTAGGGGTCGTCCTCGAAAGGGTTGGAGAGAGGGGGTAAAGGAGGTTTTGTGGGCAAGGGGCTTGGACTTCCAGCAAGCGTGCATGAGCGTGTTAGATAGGAGTGAATTGAGACGAATGGTACTTGGGACCTGACGATCTGTTGGAGTGTGAGCAGGGTAATATTTAGTGAAGGGATTCAGGGAAACCGGTTATTTTCATATAGTCGGACTTGAGTCCTGGAAATGGGAAGTACAATGCCTGCACTTTAAAGGAGGGGTTTGGGATATTGGGAGTTTGGAGGGATATGTTGTGTATCTTTATATGTGTATACTTCTAAACTGTTGTATTCTGAGCACCTCTACAAAAACAGTGATAATGTGCGAGTGTGGTGAAAGTGTTGAATGATGATGAAAGTACAGTGGACCCCGGTTAACGATATTTTTTCTCTCCAGAAGTATGTTCAGGTGCCAGTACTGACCGAATTTGTTCCCATAAGGAATATTGTGAAGTAGATTAGTCCATTTCAGACCCCCAAACATACACGTACAAACGCACTTACATAAATACACTTACATAATTGGTCGCATTCGGAGGTGATCGTTATGCGGGGGTCCACTGTATTTTCTTTTTGGGGATTTTCTTTCTTTTTTGGGTCACCCTGCCTCGGTGGGAGACGGCCGACTTGTTGAAAAAAAAAAAAAACATGTATGTGTAGTGTGACCTAAGTGTAAGTAGAAGTAGCAAGACATACCTGAAATCTTGCATGTTTATGAGACAGAAAAAAAGGACACCAGCAATCCTACCATCATGTAAAACAATTACAGGCTTTCATTTTACATTCACTTGGCAGGACGGTAGTACCTCCCTGGGTGGTTGCTGTCTACCAACCTACTATTAACTAATTACATAATTTGGTAAAATGGTGATTTTGTAATGGAAAAAAATGATCAGTCTTAGGTTGACATCTGGCTGAAGATACACAGTATAGTATGTTTGGAATATACAGACATTGAGAGTTTGAATCACTTGATATAGGTGGATCTGTCATTCAAGGGGCCTTAGGATAATAGGGCAAATACATGTGATCCCTTCATCTTCCACATAGACAAAACATGCTTTGAGAGTACTGTACATGACATGTTCTAAAATTTCTTTTCTCATCTTGCAGAAATGTGTAAAGCAGTTGTGTGTGTACCATCCTCGTCTGCAAGCACTTAAACTCTCCAACCGTAGCAAGTTGACATATGACGAGCAGCATATATCCCATGAAACACTGTCTCATTTAGGTGCAGTCATATCTTGCCCATCAGAAGAAGCATTGGATTTAGGATGTGGAGATAGTCGTGAGAATCTAGAAGAGTTGGAAAGTTTAGAAGGAGCAGAACATGTTGATGAGACTGATGAAGTAACAGAAGGAGAAGACAGTAATGCCCCTATACATGTACGTCTCGGATAAATTTGTAGATTTACTTTAAATGTGGGAATAGATATACAGTTCAAACAAATATAATTACTAGATGTCTTGATACAAGTATCATAAACCTTGATTAGTACAGGTGTCCCTTGTTTTATGCTGTAGATGTATTCCAGGCTTTTAGCATCCATACTAGGCTAAGCCATAACAGTTACGTAAAATAAATATCTTCACTATACCTGATGAATCTTGTTGATCATATATAGTGATTGTAAATTGTATATACAGATCTACTAATAAATTATATAGGATAATAATGAATTTGCATAAAGTGAGGGAGATCTGTATGTAGATAAAACCCAATGGACAGAAAATATCAGTTGAAGTATGTCTGATTAAGGCAAAAATACACAGATCTTTCTTCCATTTCATTTTTTCTTGCCATATGGGATTTATCTGTCTATTTCTGGATTTATTTCACACATGACATGCTTCTAAATGCTAGAAATATGATTGTATTTATCTGTATCTCTTAATATAAAAAATTATTTGAAATTTTTTTTTCACAGGTGAATGCACTTGAAGTGCGGTTAGAAAAGCAGGAAAGGCAGGCATTCAAGGTTGATCGTGCATCACTCGCTTCCGATGTGTCTCCAGAAATAGCTAACATTTTATCTCCTGCCATAGATGTTATTTCTTCTAGTAATGCCAGCTTGTATACTGCCATTTCAAAAGCCACCAGTGCCATTTCTACTTCCACTGCAACTTCTGCCCCCACACCTAAACCTACTTCTTCTTGTATTCAGGTTATCATGAAAACCACTGTTTCTTCCCCTATTCCAAGCCCCAGTGTTTTGCCTATATCAGTTCCAACACAAACTGATGCCACTAGTCCACTGCCAGTATCAAATATTGATAGTATTAGGCCACTCCCAATACCTGTTCTCGATACTAGTAAGCCACTCCTAATGCCAATTCTCGATACCCATAGGCCTATCCCAATGCCAACTCTTGATACTCCTAGGCCTATCCCAATGCCAACTCTTGATACTCCTAGGCCTCCCCCATTAACATCTCATGATACTACTAGGCCTCTTTCACTACCATCTCATGATAACACTAGGCCTCTCCCATTACCATCTCATAATACCACTAGGCCTCTCTCATTACCAACTCATGATACACCTAGGCTCCTCCCAGTACCAACTCGCAGTACTACTAGCCCGCACCCATTGCCAACCCTTGATAGGCCACTTGTAGTGCCAGCTCTGGATACTAGTAAGCCACTTCCACTCCTAATACCAACTCTTGATACTGCTAGGCAATTGTCAACACCAGCTGATACCAACAAGCCACTGGATACTAATAGGCCACAGCTAACACCAGCAGCTGATGACACACAGATAGTAACAGCACAGTCTCTTGATTCCAATAGGCCAATACCAGCACAAACTTCTGATGACATTAAGACAGTACCAACGCCATCTGCTGATGGCAACAGCCCAAAGTCAACACAAACTTCTAATGATACAAAGCCAGTACCATCTGATGACACTAAGCCAACAATATCTGATAACATTAGGCTAATGCCAGCACAAGCTTCTAATGACAACACATCAGAACAAACACCAGCTCTTGATCAAGAAGAGACAAAACCCACTGACACTGTCAATGAGATAGCTGAGGATGATGTAGATAACGAAGTAGATGACGATGATGATGCATCTGATTCATCTGTTGTTTTGTCACCACCATCTACTCCCTCTCCTCGTCCTCGTTCACATGGAAAAGCACGCTATCGCAATAGAGGCCGGGGGAGAAATACTAAAACAGGAAGTGTTAGTACAAAGAGAGGAAGGAAAATTCTTCGTCGAGGTCGCCGACGAAGGACTCCTCGCTTCAACTTGGAACCTGATGACAATTCAGGTAAGAAAAGTTCAGTATAGATAGGTGTTCTAATATTAAACTCATCTACATTAAATCCTTTCATAATGTGGAAGATGTGTTTCTGAAAGCTTTGCAAGGTGAAGAATACAAGGGACAAATAGGGCTGGCGGTATTCCAGGTACTTTCAGTTTTGCCATACAATTTATTTTAAATTCTATTAAGTACAGATTAATACAGTTTTAAGTCATTCACTGCATGGAGGCTTTGAACTTATGGCAACCCAGGAACTCACTTACCATGGCTTTGAGCTGTTCATGCTACGAGTTGTTTACAATTGTGTCATTGCCTGTTGACATGGAAGCATGTGAAGAGGATTGATGTGTCCCTACTTGGCTTAGGTGGATGGCTGTGGTTCTTATGTTGATGTGGACATAGTTGCCATGGTTGATGGTTATATTGGAATGCCCAATATTTTGTATTGCTTCTCTGGTCTGCTTTACCCTACAATACTTTATACAACTGATGATAAAACATTGTTTGCTCCAAAATCCTCTTCAGACCAATGCTTCTAGATTTATCAGGATCCCAGTGAAGAATTCTGCAACTTTCCCAATAACATGGAATTTCTCATGTAACTCCTGCAGTGTTCATCAAATTGTTGTTCCTCATCCTTGTTTTTAATTTGCCTCCTAACTGAGAATTGAGCTCCTCTAGCATTTGTTCAGTTCACTCTTTGTCATCCTTTTCTAATAGTTCATTGACATCTTGTTCATGCATATCTTCAGAGCCCTCATATCTCAGTCCTTGTCAGAGCTGCAGTTAACCTGGACCTGACTTCTTACTGAGGGAACACCGGAGAAATTATTTGCCACAGATGACCATAATTGACCCCTACCTGCATTTGTGGTCAATTGGGGCACTTCATTCCATGACGTTTATTTATACAGGTCCGTATCCCTTTTTCCGAAATTCTGAAATTCGAAAGTTCCGAAAACTGAAGTATTTTCGTGGAGGTATATATATGGAAAACAGGAATTAATAAAGGGGATGTAAATAGCGTGCTAAAAATATCTAGCCTAGCCTGTTACTAGGTCAGATGCCATACTCCTTCCTTGGTTGGATAAACATATTAGGTTGGACAAACATATGAGTGAGAGGGGTTGGATTTGAGTGGGACTTGCACATGAGTAAATAGAATTATCAAAGCTTATTGCTTGGGTAGCATTGAAAATTGGGTTGGGCAAATATTCTGTTAGCGAGATGGATTGTGAAGGACCTCCCTCGCATGGGCCAGTAGGCCTGCTGCAGGGTTCCTTCTTATGTTCTTATGTGTGGAGCTTGTCATCTCTACGTAACTCCAGTGCTGCCACATGGCGGCACTGACAGCCAGATTGGCATCAGTTGTGTCTCAGCGCTTGTAGTGTCACACGTGTGTCTGCTGTTCGCTGAGAATAGCAGATGCATGTTCCTGGTCTATAATTATCCCATTATTTCATTTATCAATATACTACTGGATAAATAAACTGTAGTAGTATTTGTAGTCTTTATTTATCCCACTTAGTGTGAATATTCATACGTTTTTGCTACAGTATTAATGTTTGATTATGAGGTGTTGCCCTAGACCCCACCTTCATTCTGAAATTCAAAACACTGCTGGCCATAAGGGTTTCAGAAAAAGGGATACAAACCTGTAGTTCATAAGTACATCTGTAATGTTAAATTTATGCCAGACCTCTGGTGTGCCAGTTGCAGCTGCCATCCATTGTTGCTTTTGAGTTTTTCCATTACCTTGCATTTTCAGTGGCACTTAAAGTAAATGTGTTAACTCCTTAATCCAATGGCTGTATCATAATTGTCTTATCGAGTGGTAAAAATGCAACCTTCATACGTAGGTTCACAGACTGTGAGATTTGAGGATGACTACGGAAATTATCAAGAGTGAGATGTATAGGGCAGGCTATCTGCTTGCCCAATACTTCTCACTGTATACTGTATTGTAGCTTTGTTTTGTTTAGTTATCATGTATACATTAATTAAACAATGTAATACTACTGTATAAGTAAAATGGAAAAGTACAGAATGTAGAGTATTGAGTATATATTTATTAAAAAAAGTAAATGAAATTAGATATTGAATATTATGACACAGGATGCATCATTGATTACATGGGCATCCATGGATAGCTAATTATGTATACATTATATCAGTGTTATGTTCATCATTATTTTTGTGACTTAACCACAAACTTGGTAAATTATTCTGTCTTATCTAATAACAGAATGTGAAACTGCTAGTGATGTTTTGTAGGGGCTATTCACATTGTTCCATGAAATCAAATTGCTCCTAAAAAATTAGGCGATTACCAATTTGTGTTTAGTTAGTTACAGGACCAGAGGTTTTCTAGTGGGAGTATGTTTAGTTTATTATATTTTTTAAGATCTTCATTGATTGAAGCATGTATTTTTTTTATCACATTCCAACAGTTTACCACTGTTTAGAAATACTTTTAAGCATCCTTTTGTAGTGTTGTCATTGGCATTGAGGGTGCTGAAAAATTACAACTATTTTTCACATTTCATGGATGCATTTGTGGTCATCATGTTTAGCCTTTTTCTTCAGTCTTTCTTGTTATTGTTTTTAATAAAGTATTTTTCTCTTACTAGATTATGATGACCAGTTAATGCTGACAGAGTTGGAGGGCGAGACTCCTGGTAAAGAGCATTTGGTTGGAGAGGAAAGTGGTACAATGGACATAAAGGGTCATCAAACTGTAGAAATGGAAACAACTGATGGCTCCATTAAAAACAAAGTTGATAAAAAAGGCTTTGTGGCTAATAAAAAAGAGGATCAAGGATTTTCAAATGTTTCAAAAGCTGAAAAGTTGACACACAAGGCCCAGAACATAGAACCAGATATCTTTGAGTTCCAGGACTCTCAAGAAACTGTGATCAGTAATAAGGAAGAGACACCAGACTCTGTTATGTTAAAGCCTAATGGTCCATATGTGTTTCAGGATGAGGAGCTAAGTCAAGGAGGAAGGGATGTGAATGAAAATGTAGGAACAGTCGGTGAAACAGCCTCCGCATAGCACTTGCTCTTGACATCCCTGAAGCACACTCATATTCCAGTACAACTTACCAGTGAATAAACTTGCCAAGTGTGAGTGATGGTAAAGCTGTGTGTACAGTACATACATTATATATATATACATATATATATGTTATATGTGCTTAGATATAAGTCTGTTTTTGTTTTGTTTTCTAGTGCTTCATCTTGAGAATGTTGATGTTATATGGCTTTGATTCATTGGTTGTTGGGTTTCAATTTTTAATTTCTTGTTAAAAGAATATAGCACTACATATTCTGAATCAAGTTTAGTTCCTTTATTTTGAAGTGAAATCTGTAACATTAGTCAAAAGTGAGATGGTAAAGTTGTTGCTGTTCTCAAGTTAAGATCAGTTCACTAGTACATGGATGATGATGAATGAGTCCTTCAGTTTTTTTTTTTTTTTAAACTGTTGTAATATTTTTGAGCTAGTCAGGTAGTGACCTATGTTGAACAGGGTAGAAGTTACTGAAATTGCCCCACTGTGCCATGGAAGAGCAATTAAGAGGTAAAAATAAAACTAGGCAATGTACGTACACTGATACATATTACAGGAAATAGAAAGACTCAAAGTGATACTGATATCTAATGTTTATAGAGGGGGCAATCATAATTTTTTTTTAGGATGCCTTTGAATCTCATGTGTCCAAAAACCTACAAAAATTAGTTAAGTGCCATTTTTTTGCTGCCTAGTTGGACAGATATATTCTAAGGAACTTTATAAGTCTGCAAATATTCCTTAATTTTTTTTTTTTTTTTTTTTTTTTTTTTTTTTTTTTTTTGGAGAAAGTACAAAGTCATGTCTCCTTGTGCAAGTGATAAGCCACTAATGCGATGCTGACAGCTTTTACAGTCTAATAGTGATAGTGCCACGTAAAGCCAAGTGTTTTGTTAGTCGTTGAGTTATTGTTCTTGTCTGTTTACACTAAAGATTTACTCTCTGGAGAGTTTGTGATGAGAAAGTGCTACGTGTGTGATAAAATGCTATCAATTAAGTGTTCCCAGACAAGTTACATCACCTGAGAATTTATTGAATATATTTTGTTTTCTGAAAGCAATGATGTTATGCAAGTATTGCTTATAAGTTTGTTAAATAAGGATAGCCACTCTGTTAAGAGCTTGTGATTGTACATACACCTGGGATTACTTGCTATCGTGGTTTCAGCATCTGCGTGTTTGCTTAAAGGCAGTATAATATTATATAATATTACTGTATTTTGTTATAAAAGCTACAAATGCTCCATGTTTGGTGTTCCTATATTGTTCTTAGTTACTAGTATGTAGAATTATATTGAAAATAGAGTTTTGCCATATATAGTATCTAGATATATTTACATAGGAACTTGTGACCAGTATGAATGATTACAAAACTATAGGCTTTTGTCTTTATCTATTTGTAGAAACTTACTGTTTATGTTCTGTATGTTGGTTATTCCTGCACTTTATTAAAAATATTTTCTGCTTGATTTCGAAATTTTTGTGAAAGCAAAATAACCAAAATTGCCATTCTTGAGAGAAACCTAGAAATGCTAGCTCCATGTATTTTCTTTACTGCACAAGTCTAGGCAAGTCATGGCACACATGTCCTTATCATGGAGTTACTAGTCTACATATTCGCTCGAAAGTGTGCTATAGATGCTTAATTTTCTTCTGTCTTTTTACAGTTACCACATTCTGACACATAAGTATACGAGTCTTCATTACAGTTGGGGTCATTGGACTTTATATTCTGGGTTGGACTATTTATTAATAGGGGACAAGAAACTTAAATTTCTTCAAAATTATTTTTCCATAATATTGAAGCACCAGTGAGTCAGAAAACACACAAACTTATCAGAATTTCTGTACATACTATTTTCTACAACAGGATCAGTTGTATGATGAACTGGTTGATATTCAAGTCTTTGAACATGCTATATACCCAACATGTGCATGTGCTAGAGTGATGAAATATTCCCTAAAATCCCCCACTATGAGTGACTCCTAGGGTGGAGTAGCATGTGATGAGCAAAATTATCACCCCTTCCTCATTAAGCAGCTTGTGGCTGAGTGGGCCTTGGCACTACAGTTTAGTTACTTGCTAAAGGCCAGGCAAATATGTTATGGGGTGCAAACCTCAGTCACAGCTGGGTTGATCGTAAGACAAACTTTTTTTTCATGTATCTGTGTATGTGAACCAGTATATTATGCACTGGACATGCATGCATATTATTATTATTATAATCAAAAAGAAGTGCTAAACCACAAGGGCTATACAGCACTGCAGGGCAGGGAAGGAAGCAAGGGTATCGGGTGGCAAAAGGGAGAGGGATGATTATTAGGGTACGGAGAACAACAGGGCAGTGGATAGTGCGCGGGTAGAGGGTAGCAAGAGATTGAGGTAGAAAGGGCTGAGGGGAGTGCTAAAGGTATCATCAGAGTTTGTGGAGTAAATCAGTTGTCAAAAAGTCAATGAGAGAGTCCGGATTAAAGGAGGGTCCATCAGCAAGAAGGAAAGGTAGAGAGAGCAGCAGCAGAACGGACGCGACGTTGGAGGTAAATTCTGCAGGCTCGTTGATAGAGTGGGCAGTCTAACAGAATGTGGCTAACCGATACTGGAATACCCACGAGTAAGACGAGTGTGGCCAATGCGAAGACGGGAGAGAGTAGTCATCCAACCCGACACTGATGACAAGAAGACAGCCGGTAACCTATACTCGGTTTAATAAAATAAAGTTTGTTATTGAGCAGATCAGACCAACGCTGTTGCCAACGGGCGTGAAGGTGGGTAGCTATTACAGCAAAATAGTCCTTGAATGGAACACCTCTATATGAAACTGGAAAGACACTGCTGACTGTGCAGCAGTGTCTGCCTGTTCACTGCCTTGTATGTCAACATGACCAGGGACCCAACAAAAAACATCTTTATGCTTGGTAAAGATACGGCGTAACCAAAGTTGGATACGGAGAACTAGGGGGTGAGGTGTATCAAATTTTCGTAGAGCCTGTAAAGCACTAAGGGAGTCTGAAATGACCACAAATGACAGGCATAGATGCAATATGGATAAGTGCTGCAAGAATGGTATACAATTCAGCAGTAAAAATGCTAGCCAAGGATAGTAAATGCCCTCGCACGACACTGTCCGGAAACACTGCTGTGAATCCAACGCCGCCAGAAGACTTAGAGCCATCTGTGTACACTGCGATTGCATGAAAATGAGAGTGGAAGTGGTCAAGAAAAAGAGAGCAGGAAGCTACCGTAGGCAGTTGGGCTTTCGCGCAAGGGAGTGAGAAAGAACAGACTTGAATAGCTGGAACTTCACAGGGGGCTAGGGAAAAGTTAGATGCCACATGAACATAGAAAGGTGGTAACTGAAGGGAAGACAACAGTGAATGTAGGCGAAGAGAAAAGGGACGGAGCAAACAGGGGCAATGAACAAATAAAGAATGTCTACTAACATCGGTGACTATTCTATATGTGGAAGGATTGCGGAGATCATGAGAGCAAACATATTAGCGATGGCAATGGGCATCACGGCGATCGGACAAGGATTCGCTTCTGCAAAGAGGCTCTCAACAGGGGAAGAGCGAAAAGCACCAATGCATAAACATAATCCCTGGTGATGGATGGGATTAAGGCTAGAGAGAGTAGCAGGAGAGGCCACTGAATAGATCTGGTCACCATAATCGAGTTTCGATAAAAATGAAGGCTGAATGTAGGCAAAGGAGAGTTCAACGATCAGCTCCCCATGAAAGATGAGCATGGGTTTTAAGAAGGTTCAGCTGGCTGTGACAAGTTGCCTTCAGAGAGGTAATGTGAGGTTTCCAGGATAACCTACGATCAAAGAGAACCCCTAGAAACCTGACCATATCACGTTCAGGGATACGTGAGAATACGTATTAATAATGCATGGTGACGACTTCATAATCATGGGTTAAATGTATTTAGACCATGACTGGAAAATAGAACACTGAAGCAGTGTGTGATTTGTGGAAACACTGGCCACTGCATTCAGTAACACTGCAGACTGCCTCCCTGGTGTACACACCTGCCAACACTTCTGTAAATTTTCCCTCTTCCATTATCAATTCCAGTTGTAGATAGATATAGTTCAAAATGTAGTACCATAATAGTTGCTACTGAGAGCAGATAGTGAAAAATCAGAGGTAAAAAACAGCATTTGTTGATGCAAGTAAACTACATCACTGCCCTTCCATACACAGATCATGACAGTTGAAAAAACACACTGAATGTGTTGAGGGGAAAGAGAATGTGCATAGCAGAAAGAGTGGCTGGTGCTACCAGTATGCATAGAGTTGTGCTCGATTTCTTGGTGTAAAGGATAGAAGGATACTGCTACCATACCTTATCAAGATGGGTACTGTGATGCTGAAGGACTCTTGATTATTATTATAATCAAGGGGGGAAGCACTAAACCCATAGGATTATACAGCACCTGTGGGGGGAAGGGGAGGTATTCAGGCTTAATTCAGGGAACTGGACCACAGATCCAATTCTCTAGATCAAGAGCCCCTCACCAGTGTCAAGGAACCTCCCTTGAGGAGAGGACTCTTGATACAAGGTATTGCAGCTACCCTTCCCTTGTATCAAACTTGACTAGTTTCATTTCCCAGATGCTGTACAACCCCTACAGGTTTAGTGTTTCCCTAAGAATATAATATCTGCCACCCTCTGCTGCTGCTGTGGAGAGACAGTAATGGTCCTTCACTATGTAACTGTATTCATGGGATTATGATTCCCCATAGACAGTTCTGAGGTCGTTTATCCCATGACTTCATCCCAGATCATGCCTGAATTGCTAAACTTTGTAAGTCGTATAGCGCCTGGGGAATGGAGTGCACTTGTATTTGATTCAAGAAATGGGATGAGAGCTCCATTTCCTTGGATCAAGATCCTTTAACCAGCATCAAGGGTGAAAGGGGCACTGTGTACAGGGTCAAATTTTTTTTAGGCTAACCCCATCAGCACAAGAATAAAGACAGTCAAAATGAGTTAAACTCTCTTTAAAACAATTTTATATATTTTTTTTTTTATCTTATTCATTGACAAGATATATTTACATGAATTAAGATATGCTAATTTTTAATTTATGCACCAAAACTAACTTAGTATCCTAACCTAACCTTGTTAAAATTAACATATAACTTAATGCTACCCATTTATTATGTGTAATCATAACCAAGCACACTGAAGTTCAGCCAAAAGTATTAACATGAAAATGCTGTATATTAATTTCATTACTTTCAGACTGACTTTTGTAGTCATTCCAACAGTTAATTTATAATAGTCTTGTTTGGCAAAATGATGTTTGCTAAATTAGCAAGTTCTGTTTAAAGAGCATGTCTTCTTACCAAAACATGAGTAGTGTACCTGGCTTAAAATTAAATAACTTACTGTAAGAAGAGTTTATACTATTGTTACAATTCCTCAAAAAAATTGGTCTGTACATGACAGAATTATTGTACTGTATTCCATCGATGTTAAATGATATTAAGTTTAGGCTGTCCTTAGATAACCTTGGTAGGATTAAGCTACTTTATATTACATACAGTATTTTAGCAAGGTTAGGATAGATTTCATTATGTACAATTTAGAAGTTGCATATCAAGTTAAAAGAATAAAGAGGTCATACTACCATGGCTGGAGCAATTCAATAAAAACCTGCACTCGGGTGAGGAACCTTAGGATGACATTTTGGTCCATTCTGGACCATTATCAAGATGCTACTTTAGCAAGAAAAGTAAGAGAAAGCCAAAAGACCATACAGTAGGGGGTGTGGGGGGAGGGAATGAGTGATGGTGGTGATAATGCTAGTGAACATCCACCACCACCATTACTATCACTCCCTTTTTACCCTGCCATAGCCAGGCTGTGGTTCGTACATCAGTTTGCATGTGGCCAACAGTAACAGTCTGGTTAATCAGGCTCTGATCCACCATGAATGTTGATCCCCAAAACCCTCTTCAGGTATGGTCTCTTGGCCTTCTCTACTACTGTGAGGTTCCATTCCTATGTACCAAATTCATATTTATACAACTTTTTACTCCATAAGAAAAATAAGTATCAAGAAAATTTAGCTTGTTTTGACTGCAATTTACCTTTTCAGATATTGAATAGATTTAAACATTTAATTTACAATTATCAAAACCTACACTGTGTAAGTCATAAATGAGAAAGAATACAACACTGCTGTCATTCTCTCTTGTAACATCACTTTCATGTTCATACACACATTTATTCAAACCTATACCTGATTTTCTTAATGTATAACTTTTCCGAACAATGCTCTCCATAAAGAAAATATGCATCCCTGGGTTTTGTGTTGGCTAATCATTTGCTGATAAAGCAATGATTTTTTTTAATATTTTCAGACATTATGTAGGGGATTATTTCATTATTATTATTATTATTTTTTTCTTACCTTTTGGGTCACCCTGCCTTTGTGGGAAATGGCCAGTGTTAAAAAAAAAAAATCATGGGGAAGCACTATGCTCAAGTAGATGACTTCAAAATTATTATTGCTGTCAATTATTTTGTTATTAATGCTAAAATTTTAAAAGACATTAGTAAATGCTCAGTAATATACTATACTATACAGTACTATACCTTATAATGAAAAGTTAAAAGAAATCAAAAGAATTGTCAGAATGGGCATTAATGTGGGATACTTATATCCCACCATCAACAAATTAGTAGCCAAAAGGACAATTGTGACAGAAGTGTTTTCTTCCTAAGGAGAAGTGTTCAGAATATATACAAGTAAGAACAATGGTAAAAAGTCTGAATAGAAATTAACCATATAAAAACAAAATGGGCATTAAGACAGGTAATGAGATGTGCCATATTTGCAACTACAATACAGATTTTTGATAATTGGAAACTTGTGTTTAAATTTAATAATTAATGGATATAAAGAGGCAAATTGTATGATTGAGCTTTGCTATGTAAGTTCCAAACTTCAGTCAGTCCATGGAAATGATCACAAAATGCACTGTTATGTCAACTCTCAGCATTTAGGTCAAGTCATACTATGGCTGAAGAGGCCATATAACATGACATGACATGATCCTGGATATGTCTCTGTTAATAGTGGGTTTTATCATATTTTGGCATTGAAAATTATCAAGATGGAGTATATATACAATATGTATATACATTTTTGTAGAAGACACATGAAATTTTTGCCATACAATACAGCATGCCATCATAAGCTATTTATCAATAAACTGATTAGATTTGCGAAGCTTCGTGAAAGTTTACTGCAGTCAGCTTTGAATTATCTATATTTGTATTTACTTGTTAGGTGCTTTAATATCGGATTCACTTTTCACTATTAACTTTACTAGTTTCCTGCACAAATGGGGAGACCAAGTGCATCAAGCCTCACAAGGTAATAAACATATATTTTCACAAAGCTTGATATAATTGACCCTATTAACTTGTGTGTATGTACTGTGATTTTTCAAGGCAGCCTTTTATAGATTTTAATTGTCTGCCAAAATGTATCACTTTGATGCCAAATTTATCATAATAAAGACATTTATATTATAAGCACAGTAAAAGCTGAGTGGACAAAAAATTATTTTGATAGAAAACGTAGCTCTTATTATAACAGTATCATTGTTATTTTCCATTTTATTTTAAGGGCATAAGCCTTATCTGTTGTTGTTCTTCTGCTGCAACACTACTGTTTGAGTTGCAGCAGCTATAAGTGTTGCTATTTTCTTCATGAGTTTGATACTCAAGTTCCTCGACTGAATTTGAAAGGTCCTGTATTCTAGACCACCATAATGGTGTTCTTTTCTATTGCACATATCATGCCATTGGAGGCATATACAGGGTATTTAATTCCTCTTGTAAACTAAATAAATCAGGTTGTCATAGATAATTTATATGCACTATCTATAAAGTATAAAATATTTTTATTGTGCGTGGTGAGAGTAATAAATGTAGTCTAAAAAATATTCTTCAGAATAGAAATGAACTTTTTGATGCCGCAAACAAATTGTAGAAAAACACTGCAGAATGTTATTAGCTCTTCTTGCCAAGCATATTTGGAAAGTAGAAACATTATTGTATTCAATAGGGAAAAATATATATACCAGTACTGTGTATGAGGCTTAACAAAATGCCTAGATTACAACACTTTCCTGTGAAGAAAATTGTAGTGAACCTTATATTTGTTCTGAAATTTAATAATGAAAAAAAAAAAAACAGGGTACTTAATGATACATTATTTAATAATGGGTTTTGTTTAAATCAGTGATTTGTATTGTCAGGGGAAACAAATATATTTTTATTTTTTTTTACACATCATTAATTTTATAGTCTTCCTATTTCAAATACTTCCCTTGGTTCTGTGTTCACAAGTCCCTCAGAGTCTTTTACAGAAGATTGATAGTGCAAAACACCTGATTTTTCTAAAGTAATGAAACTCTTGGAATTGGTTTCAGTCTACAGTCCAAATTACCCATAGACATTGTCATCACCCATACAAATTAGTACTGTACATTAAATAAATAAGTAATTATGTATAGTATGAAACCAAACATTAGTTAAGTTCCTTAAATTTTGGGATGACTCTTAAATAGTTGCAATTCTAACCCTGCCTATGAGCTGTGAGACTCCAAGCCTTTCTGTACTACACAACGTTGCCAAACTTGCCGCACGGTGTTCAGTGTAAGTCTCAATAAAGCATATGCAAATATCTCGTTCTTTATGACCTGATAATTTTATTATGATGTATACTATGTGTATCTGATGGAAATAAAATATAATATTCATACTATCATTACTTTTAGATGTTAGAAATCCTACAAGCATGTTTGTGCACTATCCAAACATGAGATGTACAATGTTATTCCTTCAAGGGAAGTGACACGATGGTAGTGAAAGGCTTTTGACAAAAGAATTGGAGCTTTCCTTCCTTTCCTTGTGTCATATCTTATTGCTTCCCATTCCCCTACTGTAATGAAGTGTTCTTGTGCACAAAAACAAGCATATTTTTGTTTTAGTGACATAAAACTAAAGGAATAACAGGTACGTAGTAATTCATTGTGTACGAGGGGCTTGGACTTCCAGTAAGCGTGAGTGAGCGTGTTAGGAGCGAATGGAGACAAATAGTTTTTAGGACATGATATGCTGTTGGAGTGTGAGCAAGGTAACACTGATGAAGGGATTTAGGGAAACTGGTGGGCTGGTCTTGAGTCCTGGAGATGGGAAGTGCAGTGCCTGTACTCTGAAGGAGGGGTGTTAATGTTGCAGTTTTTTAACTGTAGTGTAAGTGCACCTCTAGAAGACAGTGATGGAGTAATTGATGAAAGTTTTTCTTTTTCGGGCCACCCTGCCTTGGTGGTAAATGGCCAGATTGTGTTTGTGCAAAAAATGAATGAGTTTAGGGGTGATGCAGAAATCCTTATTAACTGCAGAGCATTTAATGGCAAACTCAATGATAAAAAGGGATGTCAATTTCTGAAGTCAAATTAGGAGTTGCAATGAATTACAAGGAGTTAACAGCAAAAAACAAGGGAATAAATTCTTTTAGTTCATGGGTATATGTCTTTTATCAAGTTAAAAGATAAGGAATAATAGTTTGTTAGGTTACAGGTGATGAGGATTCTAGATTGACTCACAAATTGTAATGAAAACCATACTTTGGATTGAGGTTTAACTCTGCTGTGTATGGTTGATTCTAGCATGATCAACATTTAAAGGGGATGCAATTAATGTTTTAATGACTGGGAAAATTACAGATACTGAGAATAAGATTATATTGTTTAACATGTTGGTGATATAAGTATGGTACAATTATATAACTTTAATGTTTTACGATTCATCTCCGCAATGGTTTTATCAACCATTAGCTTCATTTTATCTCCAAAGTAAATGCTGTACAAAAATAGTAATACACTGGACCCTCGACCAACGATATTAATCCGTTCCTGAGAGCTCATTGTTAATCGAAATTATCGTTAGTCGAGTTAATTTTCCCCATAAGAAATAATGGAAATCAAATTAATCCGTTGCTGACACCCCAAAGTATTGAAAAAAAAAATTTTACCACATGAAATATTAATTTTAATACACACAAACTGAAGAAGACATGCACGGTTACATGACACTTACCTTTATTGAAGATCTGGTGATGATTGATGGGATGGGCGGAGGGGAGAGTGTTGATGGTGTTAGTGTTTAGAAGGACTTGAGGTGGCAAGTCCTTTTCCGGGGTTACTTCCCTTCTTCTTTTAATGCCACTAGGACCAGCTTCAGTCACTGGACCTCTGTCGCACAACATATCTGTCCACAGAGGCCTGTACCTCCCGTTCCTTTATGACATTCCTAAAGTGTTTCACAACATTGTCAGTGTACAGGTTGCCAACATGGCTTGCAGTAGCTGTGTCAGGGTGATTTTCATCAAAAAAGGTTTGCACTTTAAGCCACACTGCACACATTTCCTTAATCTTTGAAGTAGGCAATTTCTTCAATTTCTCTATCCCCTCCTCTGAAGCAGTTTCCTCACGTGTGGCCTCTTGCTGTTGAAGATGATCTAGCAGCTCATCAGTGGTTAGTTCTTCATTGTCCTCTTCCAACAACTCTTCCACATCCTCCCCACTAACCTCCAACCCCAAGGACTTCCCCAATGCCACAATGGATTCCTCAACTGGCATAAGATCCCAGGGTTAGCCTCAAACCCTTCAAAATCCCTTTTGTCTACACATTCTGGCCACAGTTTTTTCCAAGCAGAGTTCAAGGTCCTCTTAGTCACTTCCTCCCAAGCCTTACCTATAATGTTTACACAATTGAGGATGCTAAAGTGATCTCTCCAAAACTCTCTTAGAGTCAATTGAGTTTCTGAGGTCACTACAAAGCACTTTTCAAACATAGCTTTTGTGTACAGTTTCTTGAACTTTGCAATGACCTGCTGGTTCATGGGCTGCAGGAGAGGAGCGGTATTAGGAGGCAAAAGCTTCACCTTAATGAAGCTCATGTCCGCAGAAAGTCGCTCTGCCAAGTCTGAAGGATGACCAGGAGCATTGTCTAATACCAGGAGGCACTTAAGGTCCAATTTATTTTCCAGGAGGTAATTTTTCACAGTGGGGGCAATTGGATGGTGTAACCAGTCACAGAAAAAGTCCCTAGTGACCCACGCCTTACTGTTTGCCCTCCACAGCACACACAAATTAGCCTTGAGGACATTGTTTTTCCTGAACACTCTGGGAGTTTCAGAGTGATACACCAATAAAGGCTTCACTTTGCAATCACCACTAGCATTGGCACACATCAACAGAGTAAGCCTGTCTTTCATAGGCTTATGTCCTGGGAGTGCCTTTTCCTCCTGAGTAATGTAGGTCCTGCTTGGCATTTTCTTCCAAAACAGGCCTGTTTTGTCACAATTAAACACCTGTTTAGGTTTCAGTCCTTCACTGTCTATGTACTCCTTGAATTCCTGCACATATTTTTCACTTTGTGGTTCGAACTGGCAGCCTCACCATGCCTTATCACACTATGTATGCCACTACGATTCTTAAATCTCTCAAACCAACCTTTGCTGGCCTTAAATTCACTCACATCACCACTAGTTGCTGGCATTTTTTTAATTAAATCGTCATGCAACTTCCTAGCCTTTTCACATATGATCACTTGAGAGATGCTATCTCCTACTATCTGTTTTTCGTTTATCCACACCAATAACAGTCTCTCAACATTTTCTATCACTTGTGATCTCAGTTTCGAAAACATAGTTGCACCTTTGGCAAGAACAGCTTCCTTGATTGCAGTTTTCTTGCCCACAATAGTAGTGATGGTTGATTGGGGTTTTGTGTACAGCCTGGCCAGCTCGGAGACATGCACTCCACTTTCATACTTAGCAATGATCTCTTTCTTCATATCCATAGTAATTCTCACCCTTTTTGCTGTAGGGTTGGCACTAGAAGCTTTCTTGGGGCCCATGGTGACTTATTTTGCAGGTGCAATCACTACAAACGCTGTGATAATATGAAATGTTCAGATTGTATGTTTGGATGGGACCGCGATGGCTGGCTGGCTTGTAAACACTGGCACCCACGGGACAAGTTAGGCGCGCTCAGGCCACAAGTGGATGGGTCTCAAACGTAACGAATAGCATTGGTCGGGTTTTTTAGCGCTAGTTGAGGCAAAATTTTTGCGTTAAAATGTATCGCTAGTCGGATTTAACATTAGACGATGCCAACATTGGTCGAGGGGCCACTGTACCAAAAAATAGTTCATGGGCCACGAGACATTCCAACACTTGGATTGAACCTGATTTCCTCTCATTTCCTCAGGTGCTATATGATGCCTACTGGTTTAGCATTCTCACATGAATGTAATAATAATAATGCACTCAGATCACAACCTCAGTGAAGTGCAAAGAAGGATAAATACAGGCATGGAGAACCTAAACAATAGCCAACATGAAGGGATGTTTAGTAAATTCATTTACAAAAATCAGGGCCAACACAAGAAAACTATCAATCATAACTAGGGAAACTGTCATAAGCACTATATACCCAAATGAATGAAAGGAAATCCTGAATGAGAAAGCATACAAGGTCTGTTGAAAATATGGCTTGCTAAATAAAGCCCAAACAGATAATACATAGGGTTAGGGCATAGAAGACTTCACAGGAGGAAGAGGGTTGATGAAATGCTTAATAAAAGCAAATATTACAACAAAAGAAAGAAAACCTATGCTGAGAAATTACAGGCACAGAATGGAAACTATTCATACCAGACAGATTCACAAATGGAATAAAACAGTTGTTTCAATAAATAGAGGAAAAATCTACTTTTTTTCACTTACAAAAAATCCAAATCCAAAACCTTTTCCAACACTGAACTGCTACTTCAAGGCAATTCATATTAAATATGATAAAGAAATGAGAAATCCTGAAAGAACAGTGTAAATCAATGTTCAGTAATTCTATCAATGCCAAAAGAGTTGAAGATTTCAGAAATTTTCAGATATTCAGCCCATACTGACATTAATACAAATCCTTCAGGGTTCTCAACTGATAAAGATAACATACCCATGGATGCAGCACCTTGGCTTGATTTCTGGAATACTGTATGTTATAAAGTTTATAAAGACGTAAAGTACCATTACAAAGAGTACTCACTGTTCTCCGGAAAAAGAGCTTAACTCAGGTGAAATCTTGAAGGCCTTAAAAAATGCAGACACTGCCCATCTTCCAAAATAGAACAGTAAAAAAAAAAAAAAAAAAAAAAAATGCTGACCAGAAGCCTTAACATCCGTACCATAAAAATCTTTGAAAGCGTTCTGAGACTGTAGGCATGGTATGACAGCTTTGTTGGCCACCCAGCCCAATTATTCACTGTATGGAGAAACATGACCTACAAAACCCAAGTTAACATGACTTTAAGAGTAGGAAAATTTTTCCTATACGCCTAATAGCTGACCTTAATAAAAGTATGAAGATTCAGGAAGGAAACCAAAATGCTTAAGTTAAGTTATGTATATCTGATTTAAGGAATCTGACAAAATTGCAGTACACGGAGTTGTGGAAATTCATAAGGGAAAAACAGAAGTAAGAAGAATGATATTCCTATTATCTAATAACACCACAATCGTGGTAGTAACAAAGTTATTATATAGTATTCTTATTATTATGTACATATATTACTACATCAAATATAAAGCACTAAAATATATAGGGTTCATGCAGGTAAGTACACAAAACAAAGTCCAGTCTCAACAAATTAAAAAATTTAGTTCTCCAGAGCACCATTACTGTTTCTCAACCTC